AAAATCCTCCCGCATGCTTTAATACAATCACCCCATCACTCCTGCCACTTTCTGGAGCAGATCTGGGGGTCTTCTCTTGTGTTTTTACAGACAGGATAAAAAGTACAGTAAAGGCTGCCACTGAGGGCCACCCAAGAAGAAGCAGGTCTGTAAAACATGCCCGTGCATCCTCATGTACACACCACCGGAGGGATGCAGCGCCAGGTGACCTCTGGCTCCTCCCATCAAGATGACGGAAGGACAGCCTCGGAATGCGTTCAGGTCATCGAGGCAGCCCGACAGCCAACTGAAGAGGACTTCCAGAGCTCACACGACAGGACTCCCAGAGCTGCTCCAGAAAGGGCAGGAATGGTGGGATGACACGCTCGAAGCAGGGGGAAAGACTTCAAGTTGGATTATGGAAATGTATTTTTGATGGTTATATATAATGTATCTTTGATGATTTATGTATATATAAATTTAGGCATTCACTGTATTTTTTATCATCCTCATACAGCTAGTTAACATAACCATCACCTCACATAGTTGCCATTTCTTTAGAAACATTCAAGGTCTATTCTTTTCAGCAAGTTTTGAGTTTATAATGCAGTATTATTAACTACAGCCTCCACACTGGACATTAGGTCTGCAGAAACTACTTACAGTGTGTACCCCTAAAACTTTGTACCCTGTGACTAGTAATTCCCACTGTCCCCACCTCTGGCCATCACCACTCTGCTTGCTGCTTCTGTGAGTCTAACTTCTCTAGACTCCACAAAACCTTCTGCCCTACTTAGGAAAGACAACATATGATGAGATTTACTGTTACCACTGTCCAGAGCTCATAGGCCCATTGAAGACACTGACAAAACTCTCACTGCACTTTTCAAAGTATAATCAGGCCATATACTAAAACATGAGTAACAACAGAAGTAAAAGATGAGCTTTTCTTTGTACTTTTCACAAAAACACTGATCCTTTTTATTTTCAAAGAAGGGAGAATTCACCAGACAGGGTGCTACACACCTGTAATCCTAGAACTTGGAAGGCTGAGGCAAGAGGATTCAGGCCAACCTGAACTACAAAGTGAGATCCTGTCTCAAGAAATTGAAGAACATAGACAAATAAAACGAGGAGGGAATCTATTTATAGTCTTTATCAGCACATAAATTTATAACCGATATTGGACTAGTTTTCCCTTAGCTGTTTACCACGTAAGTTTGCTTGAGTTTAGAGTGCCTTAGAGAAAAGGGGTTATTATTTACTCAGTCCACCAGTGACTCATACTGGTAGTCAGCCAGGGAGTGGGGAAGCCATTTAATTTTAGAAGTTAAAGAAATTATGTTTGTCTGCCTAGCTATTTCTTTATTGGTGGAAACCCAGGGCCTTCACACTGAGCTGCACCACAACACTTTCACCCAGACTGTGCTCAAACTTGCAAGCTTTCTGCATTAGCCTCCCAGAGCAGTAAGACTGTGGGCATCTGCCACACTCCCAGCTCCTTCTTATTCTTGAATCCCGTCATTACCTTGGACTAGGGCAATGCCTCCCTTGGAAGCTGGCCAAATGACCGTTTCCATTGCTGGGAAACACACAAAGGACACAGCTGGATGTGGAGGTCAAGGGAGCTAATCACTAAACTTGAAGGATGTAATAAACTGAAGATAAAAGAAAAGGAGGTGTGGTGGTGCACACTTGCAATGCCAGCTCTCAGGAGGCTGGGAGAGAGGATCACTGCTAGTCTGAGGCCAGCCTGAGCTTCACAGTGAAGCCCTGTCTCAAAAAATCAAAAGAAAAAGGTAAAATGAGCAAAGGTAGTTATGATTTATTTTTAACTGATATTTCTACTTTAGGCTAGCAAATAAGTTCTAACTTAAAAATACCCCAAAAGGGTGTGTGTGTGCGCACATGCACTGGGGAGGGAGGAGGCTGGCTGATCTTTTTTTTAAGTGTGACTTTAAAAACAATTCATAAGGGCTGGAGAGATAGCTCAGCCACATAAGCACCTGACAAGCGCAAGGTCTCGAGCTTGATCCCTGGTACCAAAAACAAACAGAACCTCCCCACATAAAAATACAATTCATAATACTTCTATATTAAAGCCATCTGATTGATACATTAAGGAGAAACTGCTTTTTGTCTTGGTTTGTTTATTGAAACAGCATCTTGCTTTGTAGTACAGGCTGCCCTTGAATCCTCCTGCCTCAGCCTCCTGAATGTTAGGCTCACAGGCATCTACAACCCTGCCCAGATTATCTCATTTTTAAAACTCCATAATTTCATTTTGTAACTTTTTGGTAATAATGTAAATAATATATCTAAAATTACTATTATGAGCTATCTAAAACCTACATGGAATTAAAAAGGTATTTTGTTTTGGTGGTATGAGACACTGAGCCCAGGGCCTGATACCAAGCCACACCCCCAAGACTGTTTACATTTTTTGGAGACAAGATGTCACTAAACTGGCCAAACTGCATTAGAACTTGCAATCCAGGAGGAGCCTCCCAGAGCACTGAGAGCAGAGATGTGCACACCACACTCGGCTCAGAACAGCTTGAAATAAAAACTGCATCACAAGCAAGACATGCTGCACATGCCTGTACCCCAGCACTTGAGAAGCTGAGGCAGGGGGACTGCTGCAAGCTCGAAGCAAGCCTGGGCTATCAAGTGAGCGTAAGGCCAGCCTGAACTGTATAGCAAGACCCTGCCCCAAAGACAAAAACAAAGCAAAACAAAACACCCTACATAGCACTGTTTCAATGTATCAATATAGGCTACAGTTCAAAAATTTGGAACTTAATCTAATGCAAGGACAACATTCTACAGAGATCAAAGTACGCCAGTAAATGAACAATGTCACCTGTGTTGTCGTTGTCTTGCTGTTGATTTGATTAAGGCCCATGACAGAGCATTTTCAAAAGATTTAATATGAGCCTCAGCTACCAAGAGAGCAACTTCCTGGTGGAGAGACCCAGGTCTTGCTCATAAGTGCTTCAAACTCAGCCCATCTTCTCTCATCTTACATTTACTTATTTGGTACAGGATCTTTCTATACAGTTCAGACTCACAGTAATCCTCCGGTCTCAGCCTCCCCAGCACTGGGATTACAGGAGTAGCCACCACTCTCGGTGCACTCTGGGTTCCAAGGCTAGTGAAGCATGTGGCACAGGGATCAAATCTGGGTCCTCGTGCTTGCCAGGCAGGCGCTTAGTGAACTGAGCTATCTCCCCAGCCCTCGGCACATCTTCTAACCAACTTCCAATCCTTTCTTCTCCCAACCTGAGTCAAGCTCCTCAGATCCTCGGTCACCAAGCCAGACACTTACAAGGCACCTTCTTTTCTCTCCTTTGCCTCAATTAGATCAATCCCTAAGTCTGCTGTGCTACCTTCAAGTATATTTTTCAGTTCATCCCTTCCTTTTCCTCCCTCCTGCCACTGTCACGGTTTTGGCTTGATTATTATAAGTCTCCTGATGGCTCTGCACTTGGTCAGGCTTCTCTTCCATCTCTGCTTCAGAATCCCAAAAGGATTCCAGAAAGCCTTGAGGCTGGACTGCATGTAACAAGCAAAGAGGGAGGCATCCGGAGAGAAGGAAAAGAAGGAACTAAAAGAACATCCAGGTAAGAGCAACATGGGGCTGTGCAGGCAGCTCAGAACGGCCAGGGTGCTGCATGCATGGGGGGATGCGATGAGGAGCCCAGAAAAATACACAGCAACACCCCTTTCTGAACCATACACGCTCACTTTACTTCTTACTGATTCTCACGGGCCAGACTAACCAGAAATCCACTGCTACTGTCAGGATTTAGAAGGGGAAAAGAGACAGCTCTGAAAGAATATTGAAAGAATCATATCCTATTTAGTGCAAACTTCTCCAAGCTAATGCTTGCTGGATGGCAGCTGTTCAGAAAATTCATACTGCTCTATGATCTGCACTCTTCTTGAGCCACAGACTTTAACCCTTTCACTTTTCAAGTCCCATCTCCGAAGCTACCTCATACGGCAAACCTCGCCCCTCTCATCCACTGCTGAGTCTCTCTTCTGAACTCAGCACCGATCACACTTTCTTCTGCTTTCACAGTTCTTCACTGTGAGTGTTCATTAATTCAGAGGGTCAGGTAAACACTGTAGCCCAGAGTTTAACTCAACTGTGACTACCCTAAAATCACCAAATTATTGATGCTCCTGAACTCCCAAATGTCACTGGTGTGTGATGAAGAAATCGTAGTTGGAAAATAAACTCAATCCTTACTTTTGTAGCTCTGGACAGATGCAACAGAGAAAGAACTCAAGGACTGTTAAGAATGGGGTGTAGTGGCTGGGTGTGATGGCCCATGCCTGTAATCCCAGCACTCAGGAGGCTCAGGCAGGAGGATTTCTGGGAGTTCAAGACCAGTAAAGGCTACAAAGTGAGCTCAAGGCCAGCCTGAACTGCACAGTGAGACCATGCCTCAAAAAGGCCAAAAGGAAAAAAAAAATATCAAGGAGATGGAAGTCATGTGTTTTATCCCAACTTCTCACCCTGAATGGTTAGTATTCTACATTTATGTATATTAAAAACAGATTTAGGGTGACCTACTAGAATTCTAAAATTAGCAACAGATCTCAGAAGCAACAACAACAACAAAACATTTCTAGCATTACGAAAGTACAACCTAAGCAAAGAAAAACTTACATGTTCAAGAGTGCATATGGTCACTTACTTGTCTAATTGACATCGTACAGAGAATATAGAGGAAGATGAAGGAACAGTCTGTGGTGTCGTCTCCCAGCAGGTTTCGATGTGACAGTCCTTGGATGTAAGAAAGAGGGGTGAAAGGGAGCTTTGCCACCACCCGACCATCAAATCTAAAAAGAAAAAAGCAAACAACTATTAGTTTTGGAAAACTGACAAGCTTCTTGCTTCAGAGAAGAATCTAGGACAGAAATAGACCTCTAAACCTTGATGTCTGTACAACACAGGGAGGGCGAGCACCAAAGGGGGACGTGAAGCTCAAGAGCATGAGGTAAGGAAGTGCCTGCATTAATCCCATCCACATCTTCCTAATGCAGCCGCTTTCACTTGTGGCACATGGACTGCTTTACATACCGACAAATGATGGGGGGGGGGCTAAAAAGCTTTTCTTTTGTGTAGGTTATAGGCTATAGCTACTCATATTTACTATATTAGAAATTAAGACTGAGAAATGTTAAAATATTTATTAACTGAATAAAAAATAGAAATTCACTTGTATGCTAACATAAGAACTTTTTATGAAACAGTAACTTTTTGGAAAGTATATTCTAAAACAAAAGCAACATAGTTGCAAAGGCTGACACTTTTTCCTGCAAGCTCTTAATGTTAGGCTTAACAGAAGCCAGCGAGCTAGACTTGTACTCTCTGAGGCTTCAGACGAACACATCAGGAAGCTTCTAGAAAACTCCACCGTATATTCATGAAAAGGCAGGCTATTGCAGACTATTGCCAAAGCAGTGTATCTTTCAAGGACCTTTATGAAAGAGTGTCAATGGCCAGGAAAGCCTAAGTCATGCTCTGAGAGCCACTGTTCTCAAGGATAACACCAGCAAGATTTTAAGAACCTTCCTTACAAAGGGTCAAAGAGCTGCAACACACACATTAAACAGAATAGAAGTTAGTGAGTAGGGACTTACAGAAAACATAGATGTAAATGAAAAGAAGCTAATCATTAAATTATACACAAGTCTGAGATAACTTGCTTAATAGCTTTTCTAGGATTAGAAAATAATTTATTTTTTCTAAAATAAAAAGTCTCTAAAATAGAAAAGTTTAAAAGAAAAAGAGCTAGAAAAATATATATATTCATTGAGCACCCGCCTGGCAAGCACAAGGTCCGGAGTACGATCCCCGGTACAAAAACCCCCCCAAAACATTGCTTATGGGAAAATGTTAAGAGATAGAGTGGTCTTTTATGTTTTCTATGAATAAGTTGCATAACTAGACAGTAATAAATTGTTATAGAAATTGTGATTAAAGCAGCTAGGGAGATAGCTCAGTGGCATAAATGCCTGCCTGGAAAGTGCAAGATCCCGAGTTCAAACCACAGTACCAAAAAAACACCCCCTTCGCTGGGGAGATGGCTCAGTGGAATAAGCGCTTCCCTGGCAGGCCTGAGTTCAATACCCAGTTCCGCAAAAATAAAAAACCCTAAAAATTGATTGAAGACATACAAATGGCCAATAAATAAATGCAAAAATGCTCACCATCACTACTCATTAGAGAAATGTGAATTAAAACAACACTGAGATTCCATCTCACTCCACAGAGAATGCCTATCTGCAAGATATCAATTACAAGTGCTGGAGAGGCTACGGGACCCTTTATCATTGTTGGTGGGAGTAAAAGTACTACTACTATGGAATAAGTGTGGAAAGTCTTCCAAAAACTAAAAACAGAAATCCACTGGACTCAGCTGTTCTCTGAGGTGTCTTCCCTAAAGATCTTCTATTACCTTGTTATATACATGCCCATATGCTGTAGCATAAGGCATAACAGACAAATCTTGTACGTGGCCTATATGCCCATCCACAGAGGCGTGGAGAGAGCAAAGGTACTTATACTGCACGCAGCACTACTCTGCCAGGAAGGATAAATCTGAGTCATTGTGGGAAACCAATGCACCTTGAGACCATAATGCTAAACAAAATAAATCAGACACACAAGCTTAAATATCACACAGGTTCTCTTACATGAGAAACCCAGACTGAAAATAAAGAGCAAAAGAAAACACAGGCAAGGGGCTGGTGAGATGGCTCAGTGGTCTAAAGCACCTACTCAGAACAAGCTTAGCAAAGCACAGGGACCGCGGTTCAATCCCCAGCACCACATGCCAGCCCGCCCCGCCCCCTGGTGGGCTGAGCTGGCCACACACAAAATAAATAAATAAATAAATAAATAATTAATTAATTAATTAAAAAAAAAAAAGAAAAAGAAAACACAGGCAATAGGAAGCAGGGAGATAGACTGTTCTTAATGGGGAAGGAGATGAAGAGATGGAAGGAGGAAGGAAGAAGAGAAAGGACAAACGATAAAAAAGGGAGTTGGGATTGGGCCAGGGATATAGCTCAGTGGCACAATCGCCTGTCTGGTGAGTACAAAGTCCTGAGTTTGATTCCCAGTACCAAAGCCAAACAAAAACAAAGGAGTTGGGATGTCTTCTGTACATGGACCTCTCCACTCAAGGAAGATAAACATTAGGTACTGCACACGTGCACTAATAAGCTAAAATTAAAAAAAAAACTAAACTTAGTTAAAAACTAATGTGATTTTTATTTAAATTGCCTTAAATTGCCCAAACAGAAATATGACAGCATAGCCAAATGACCCCCAAATAGGTCTTTAATCCCTATCACAGGGGCTAAAAAACTGCCTCTTAGAAAAACACTGGATATTTGAATGTTTCCATGGGAGAAAAAGTACCAATGCATCATTTTCTTCAGTGGAAAAAAAAAAAAAAAAAACCTAAATGCTCAAATCAGCTGCCATATGGTTTCAAAAGGCTTGCCCAATGACTATCAAATAGACTGAATTTTCTCTCTTCTACGTACATACAATCCACTCAATACTATACTTCCAACTGCTGTCCTGCTATACATTACCAGAGAAAGATCTCAATCACGAGCTACAATATATATTAAGAGCTACTTGAAGTAATCACTGTCATTCTTTTCTACTAACCTCACAAAAGTAAAACAAAAGTAATGCTTTTTCCAGCAGATACTCTCCTTTCCCCACAAGAAGTACGAAGTGCAATTATCCTTATGTGCTGGCAGTGTGCTGCTCTAGGCATGTTGCTGTCATTGTTCTTTTTTCTGTAGTCAGACTATGAGACGAAGGGACAGAAGAGAGGGTCAGTGGTGCTTACCCCACTAGCCTGCACAACCACAGCTACATCTCAGCATTTTATTCTTTGTTATTTTCAACCTGTACTATTAAAAGAAAATCTTCTATCCGTTTAAGTTATTCAATTATGTGAGGCTGAAAATATACTATGCATGAGCTGGTAAACCAGCAGCAAACATAAAACCACCTTCCAAAAATTCTTTCGTTCCTTTCTTTCTTTCTGTGTGGTACTGGGGATTGAGCCCAGGAGTGCTCTGCCACTGAGAAACACCCCCTGGCATTTTTGTTTTTTAGTTTGATACCAGAGTCTTACAAAGTTTCTCAAATTGGCCTTGAACTTGTGATCCTTCTACTTCAGTCTCCTGAGCAGTCAGGATGAAAGGCATATACAAGCACATCCAGCTCCAAGAATTCTTACTTTTAATGAATTAATTTTTCCCAAGGACTAGAACATTGTATATGCCTCAGTAAATAAACTTGTGACCTACCTAATAAAGAAAAGAGTTGGGGAAGAAAAGCAGGAAGATACAAAGACAGATGATTTACAACAGGTAAATTACTATGTCTTGATGTGTACCTACTCCCTGTGAACCCAGAGCCATGACCTGCACTGCCAAGTAGGAGTACAGGGAGGGGTATTTTCATTCCATAAAAGGAGCTACTTGCAAACCATAAAAATTACTTAAGGACCGGCCAGATAGCTCAGTGGATTAAAGTGCCTGCTTAGGCAGACACAGGGGTCGGGAGGCTCAATTCCCTGGCATGCCATGCCGCCCCGACTCTGGGGTATGCTGAGACAGTGATTGAAACTGGGCATAGTAGCACCTGCCTGTAATCCCAGTGCTCGGGAGGATGAAAAACAGGAAGGATCAGTACAAGTCCGATCTGTGTAGTGAGACACCCCCCCGGCCCCCGCAGACCCTGTACTAAATACATCAAAAACAAAACAAAACAAAAAGCCACCTTAAGCTTCATGCTGGAGCCTGGGGAGGCACCTTCTAAAAGGCAAATGTGTTGGAAGACTGTGATGCAAGGCCACTTTTGCTGGCTATTAGCAGGGTCTCTGGAACCAAAGGGAACACACAGCCTTTTTACAACTGAAGGTGTTTATGCCCATGATGAACCTGAATTTTCCTTGGGCAAAGATGTGCTTATTGTACGAACAAAAGATAACACAGTGACTCCAGGTGGAAAACCAAACAAACCAGAGTGCCCTGTGGCAAGAACTTGGGCTCCTGGAAGCAGCTTCTTGGCTGGTGCTAAGCTCAAAGCAACCTTCCTGATAAGGTTACTGGACACCAAATCCATGTGATGCTGTACCTAGGGATTTAAACTGATGGAAAATAAAAGTGCATTTGTGCTCTTAATTTTAAAAATACCCAATAAAAGCATGTATTACCTCAAAAACCACCATGCTCCTCATTGTTGGAAATAACTGAAATGTGGAAAATTGTCTACTAAAAAAAAGTACTGTGGGGCCAGAGAGATGGCTCAGTAGGATAAGCGCTTGATTGGCAAACGCAAAGATCTGAGTTCAATCCCCGGATCTGCCAAAAAAAAAAAAAAAAAAAAAAGTACTGAAGGGAATTCTGTTAATTGCAGGTAAAGTTTTTTGTTAAATGGCTTTCCACAACTCTTCCAATTCTAAAATTCTATTAGTTCAGCTTTACAGAAATGATTCAGGAAGTTGAGTGTGGTAGCTCTTGTCCGTAATCCCAGCACTCAGGAGGCTGAGACAGGAGGATCACTGTAAATTCAAGGCCATCCCAGGCTACAGATGAGCTCAAGGCCAGTTGGAACTACATAGTGAGACCCTGTCTCAAAAAAAAAAAGAGGGGGGGGGAGTAGCAGGGGAGAGGGCAGAGGCAGAGGCGGAGGAAGAGAGGAAAACCCCGAAATAAACCAGCTGTGGTCCAGTAGGGCGCCTTCTGCTTCTCCAGCAGCCTGACAGCTCAAGTTCTTCCCTGCTCTACCTAACTTTAGGTCT